TGAAATGTACATGTAAATGTACACTTGTAGATTCAGTACTATAATTATACTGTACATAAATGTACGTGCACATGCAGTGGAAAGTGTTCAACAAATTTAATGAAACACATAGTCACATACATGTACATGTACATGTATATGCGTGTACATACATGTAGATGTACATTTACAATGTACTTTTGATGTCAATATGTACATGTACTGTGTGTACAACAAACAATTATTCAATTACATTTTTTACATTGTATTGTTAATAGAAAATAGTTGAGAAGTTTCATCGTGACCCCAACCTACCAGCTAACAGTGACATTGCCCAGCGTACATTCTTATTTGATGAGAGGAAGATACAAGTCGTGTATCATTTTGAGGACAACAGGATAACCCCATCATCACGGGAATTCTATCTACCAGTCCTCACTGGGGATCAAGCACAGCAACTCACAATGAACCCTGATATGACATCAGCTTACCAAGTAATCCTCTCTTCTGTATTTCTATAGACACATTATGCCAATTTGGAAATATTAATGTAGCATGGCCCAGCTGTGTCTGCATGCATGTACAGTGCAATGAGTATACATGTTATATAGTTAGTCTATTTCATGTACATTTATGTCATCATTTTCCTTTTGACTTTCCCTCTCTACGTCATCTCTATGAAAGGTTGATTCTTATATGACAGAGCCCAAGCAGAAAGTGCTGTATGATATGTTGGAGGGACTGCTAAAAGCTCAGGAAGACAGTGTCACTGCTGTTAGACTATCAGAAAAAGAGGTACTGTATCTGTATTGCATGATAATTTACAGAATATCATTAATTTGCCAAATTAATTTTAAGCTAGTATACAAAATTTTCATTGTCATTAAAAATAATGGACATCTATATTATCATGTACAGTACGAATTAAGACATTAATTTTTTATAATTATGCGTACTATAATTTTACTGATTTACATGTAGAGTTATTTTTAGCACACTGTACATGTACATGAAGTACATCATGAAAGTATTTCCTTATAGACTGAGTCAATACTCTCTGCTCGTATGCAAGAGGAGCTCAATGCTATACTAACAATATCAGTCTATGATGTAGCTAGGAACGAAACTGCAAGACAGCACAGACAAGAACTAGTAAGTATTACTGCAAAACTATTAATACATGTACTTGTACATGTACATTTATCCTGTGCACAAGATTAAGTTGCACATAGTGCTCAGCTATTTAAAATAAATTTTCAAAGTTGCAAAATACCCTGTACTATATAGCTCGTCAAAAATTACTAGGAAAGATTTCTTTATTTTTATCATACATGTACATGTATTTCCTAATATACATGTATTTGTATGCATGTTATACACGCGTACTTATGATTTCAATCAAAATGGGATTTATATGAATTTTAAAATGCTTTTTAGCTCACTTGACATGCTTTATGCATTTACTGTATATTATTAGGAAAGGAAGCAAATGGAGGAGGAGAGGATAAGACAGGAGAAAGAGAAAGACTATCTTGCTCCATTTTTAGCTCGCCATGGTGACCCACCCACACTCACAAAGGAGCAGAAGAAGAAGGTCACTGAGGAGTGCCTTAGCGACATGAAGAAGAGACTAGTTGATGTCGCTAATATAATACAATCACACTTCGAGAGAGTAAGAATAATTACATGTACATGTACATGTACAAATGTATGCGTACTTGTGTAGGGTATTATATGATACTGTAGGGGTCTTATTACATGTACATGTACATGTACATGAAGGTACATG